ACCTTAGCCTCCCAAAGTGTTGGGATTACAGGCATGCGCCACTGCGCCCGGCAATGCAGTTTATGTCCACTGAACAAACATTTCCTGTCAGCTGCTGTTAGCTGAGCTGTTCTCTTACCTTCCTTTTCTGTGTCACAGAACTTTTGCTGCTACTGCTGGGAAACAGCATGGCTTCTCACCTAATCCAAGCACTGGGTGATGGTAATACCAAAATAAAGTGGAAATGTTTCCACCTAGGTCCCTGCCAGCACTGGTCTCCTGACAGGTGGCGTCTCAGGGCCTGTCCAATATCTTCTCACTCGTCACCACAGCTTCTTTCTGGTGTTGTAAGGAAACTTGGGAAGACTGGCTATATCTAAATTTTCATCGTGAAGACAGAAAACCTATCAATCAAATGCTTGTCTGACTTGGTAAGGTCTAAACTAAGAAAAGAAAGTCTTCTTTGTAAGAAGAGAAAACAAAGACCCACAATAATACTTAAAACCCAAAAAAACCTGAGGGAAGAAATAAAAATCAGTCTAAGCAAAAGAACCTATTTTTCAAATGATCTCACAGCAGGGTTTCTAATAATTTTTTGTCTTAAACCCTCTGGCAGTCTGATGAAGGCTTCTCGGAATTAGTTTCTCACGACAGAAATGAATTATATTGAAATACAATTATCAGGATATTAAGACATCCTTGGGATATGGTAACATATGTGCTGCTTTATTAATGCATGAAATAACACTTGCTAGCAGGTTTAATTATTAACATAATTTCTAAGCAGTGATGATATCTGTAACAAAGGTAAGTGATATGAAAAAAATCAATGATTTTTACTGGCAAAACAGACACAGATGCTGTTAATATTATAGTTATCTGTTGCCTACACTCATAATTGAGAGAAATGCTAAATATTGAGGTTAGTGAAAATAAAACTATAATTTTATTCTATTCAAGTTCACAGTCCTCTGAATTTTCTTTGTAGACCTGGACAAGGCAGCTGGAGGCACAGCTTCTCTGGCAGAAAGAGGAGCAGAAGCAAATGGCCTGCTGCAGCGTGGTCTGACCTCTCTCCAGACCCACTCCTCCCCCCAAGCCACGCCCTACAGGAGCTGTGAGAAACCAACTCCAGCGCTTCTCAGAAGACCGCTTGAAAACCAGTCATAAAGAGGTTTACCATTTAGCCTGCTACTAATATCTGTGCAAGAGCACACCTATGCCTATTTTTCCAACCTCCCAGCCTAAACTATATATATCATATAAAGTCCAGGATTTCATTTTACTGTATTTTCTAATCTTATTTAAGTTTTCTTTATTTGTCACAGCCCTACAGTATGCCTAGTTTTCTTATTTTGTTTATTTTACTTTGTCTTAACCTTGTTGATATTTTAATCACTTTTAATCTTGATTCTTGGTTTATTTTCCCTTTATACGAGTATTATCAGCTTTTTGGTTTTTTTTCTTTTTTGGCCAATGAATATAGTTTCTGGTCTTGCCTTAATCGTTTTTAGTTCATGTTATTATTTAGTTAGAGCTTCACCCTTTCCTTCACGTTTTCATTTTTTATTTATAAACAGAAGGCAGAAGCTGATCATAGGATTGCCAACTCCCAGAGAACAGACCATGGCCCAAAGAAAGGTACTTAGACATTTGTTCTCCCTCCTGCTCTCTTAACAACAGCCTTTCTTTCTCTCCTTAAAAGATCTCTTCAATGTTGAAGTCCCTAAAAAGCCCATGTACTTTGGGAGATTCAGAACTTCAAATCTTCTTTTGGGATGACAAGGTGATAATAAGCTGGCAGGTACCAGCAGTACCCTGAGCTGCTGGAACTTGAAACTGTTTACTTGCCTGATCAAACTGTTTTCACTGATCATTCAAGGTTTCCAAACTTCTTTGGCTCTAGACTTTACATAATCATTGCGGAAATTTGATCATTGTAAGAGGAGAAGATGTAGCAGCTACACTCCTGCTAGCAGAGCCTGGTGTCGACAGGCCACGGCAGAGAAAGAGTTGAACCAATACAAAAGTTCTCCTGTGGGCTTCACTGTTAAAGATAGAAACCCTAATGGCAGGTCTGCAAGCTGTGAGTTGTCTAAAATTAAGAAGTTCCTTCTTCATTTCCTCACCTTAGACCTGGAATTTACGTTACTCTGAGTTGTCTAAAGTCATCCTATAAGGAGATGTTAGGCATCATGAACTGGTAGAAATACCACACAGCAGTAGGTCCTTGGTGTCTTCAGGATTAACATCCCTAATTTTGATTACTTGAGAGAAACCCCAAGAGCTTATAACTTGTAATTTTTAATTTTGCTAAGGCATAAGTACGTTCTGTATATTCTCTAAGGCTGGAAAGCAAAAGTGAGGCACTTAACTAACGAGAGAACCTAGCCAATCTCCATTGTTTCAATTCAGCTTTGTAGAGTTCTACCTAGTCTCATATATTTACACACTCATGAAGTCATAAAAACATTTCTGTCTTTAAAAAAAGTAATAGATAAGAGATAAGAAAGTCAATTTTCTTGGTAATGAAAAGGAGGAGAAAGAACTAAGATAAGGGATAAATCATAGCTAAAAAATTAGTTTTGATTAAAGCAAAGGATGGGATGTCCAATTAAACACTGGCTCAGATTTATCATGGATGAGAGTCCTTTATTTGATCTATATGGAAATAGGACATAGAGTTTTTATGAAACTTTCAGTTATACCCCAGGTCACACAAAACTGAACATCATGTGAAGAACTAATCATAGAATGTCTTAAAGACAGAACTTCAACTCTTCAGTAATACTAATATATGAGGACAGGGAGAATTATTCAACGTTAGATATCCAGCACCCAGGACAGGGCCTGGGCACATAATAGGCACTCAGCAAATACTTGTTGAAATGCTGAGTCACTGAAATCAATTATATGCTACAGAAGTACTTATGAATTTGGAAAATACTTCTCCCAGCACTATGGCACTACATCTCACAGGATGAAATTCTGAAAAAGTTTATATTTAGAAATTGAAATTATGTTCTGAATTTTGCTATAAACAAAAATACGAGAACTGGCCAGATGCCAGCCCAAATACACCCTTCACCACAGACCAAAAATAACTACCAAAGCAGCGCCACAGTCCCAAAGAGCCATTAAAGGAAGGAAGGGGTAGCTCTCATTAAGGGGTCCATTTATCTTTATCCTAATGAAGAGGGCACTAACAACTAAGATCACTTGCAACTAAGTTAGGACCTAGAATTTCAACTTAGGACATTGTTAAAGCCAATCTTAGATTTAAAATAAATGTTTTTTTAAGATGTGGAATCTAGCCTACTTGAGGTTTACATTTAAATAGCAAACACCCAAAAGGTGGTAGCATCTACCCAATTCAGAAATTAAAAAAAAAGAAGCCTCATTATTATTTAGCAAAATCAAAGAAAAATGAATAAATTTTCATTAAAATACAGTAAGCTTTAAAAAATGCATCTAGAAAAAAACGACACCCCCCAAAACCCCAAAAACAACAACAAAAAATAAAAATGCATCTAGACAGAAATAACTAAAAACTCTCTTGATCAAAACAAGCAAGATTGAATGGAAAACTCCAATGTAGTGCTTACTGGAAACATTTAAAATTTCAATCTATTTTTAGAACATAGGAATTGGAACAAATCACAAATCAGATTTCAAAAACTGGAATCACAATAAAAATTTAGTTGTAAGGTACCATTCTGACAGATATTTGTTTGACCAGTTCTTTATTTAATATGCGTTAGGTTGTTTCAGTCATTTGCTACCATAGATGATGTTGTACTAAACATACTTCTTGTACACATGGGTGAGTTTTGTGAGTAGTTCACAATAGAATTGTTCGCAGCTGTGAGAAAGAATGAAGTAAATGTGTTAATGTAAGAAAGGTTTGCAAACAGTGTTAACTGAAGGCTGGGCATGGTGGCTCACACTTGTAATCCCAGCACTTTGGGAGGCTGAGGCTGGGGGATCATGAGCTCAGGAGTTCGAGATCAGCCTGGCCAACATAGTGAAACCCCATCTCTACTAAAAATACAAAAATTAGCCGGGTGTGGTGGCGCGTGCCTGTAGTTCCAGCTACTGGGGAGGCTGAGGCAGGAGAACTGCTTGAACCCGGGAGGTGGAGGCTGCAGTGAGCCAAGATTGTGCCACTGCATTCCAGTTTGGGCAACAGAGCAAGACTCCATCTCCAAAAAAACAAACAAACAAAAAACAACAGTGTTAATTGAAAGTAGGTATCTAACAGTTTATAGGGTATAATTTCACCTATTAAAAAAAAAGAGAGAGAGAAGAGATATACATACAGATTGAGTATCTCTCATTTGAAAAACTCCAAAATCAAAAATTTTTTGAGCACCAACATGATGTTCAAAGGAAATGCTCATTGAAGCATTGTGGATTTTCAAATTAGGGGTACTCAAACAGTAAGTATAATGCAAATATTCAAAAAACCTAAAAAAATCCAAAATCCGAAACACTTCTTGTCCCAAGCATTTTAGACAAGAGACACTCAACTTGTGCGTGTGTGTGTATAAATTTTAACCAATCAGATTGGCAAAATAATGCAAACATATGAATATGCCTAACTATTGGCCAAGCTGTAAAAATACGTGTCTCTCATACATTGCTAGTGGGAAGGTAATCTGGTAAAACTTCAATGGAAAGCAATTTGTCAATAGCAATTAAAACTATAAATACATATACTCATGAAAATTAGGTGCAAAATTACGTATGTACGAGGTTATCAATTATAACATTGTATACAATACAAAAAAAGAGAACAACCTAGAGGTACATCAACTGGGAACTGGTTTAAATAATAAACTCACAGTATGGAATAGGATGCAGTTATAAAAAATGAGACATCTCTCTATATACTCATATGAAAAGATCTTTAAAATATAAACTTAAAAGGTATCAAAATTATATATAGCATATACTAACTTTTATGTAAAAAAAGGGTGTGAAATCACAGAGTACATAGCCAAATCAAATGGAAAACTTACTTGTAAAGGTAATACTCTGCATGATCTATCTCTTCCCGAGAGGAAATGTTGTCTACAAACTAAAAGACAGAAAAACAAACCTTTGGTTGAATATAAATTATGTCATATATTTGGCCTAGGGCCTAGATTACACATGAACCTTAGAAAACACAGGACACCCATTTTATTGGAATGATGGCGATGCTTGGTAGAACAATGTTCATGTGGTATGGCTCTGTCCTTGAAACCCCTTTATGCTAACACAAACAAAGAATATATAATGACTTCTCTTTCTTTACATGTAGAACAACTTTGATCAGAAAATGGATTGAAAGCCAAACATAAACCTTGCTCAGAACAAGAGGAGAGTGTTCCATTGATTATATTTATAACTAGTTACCTATTTTTTTCCTTTATTTTTAAACTCCCTTATTTTCTTTACGTTCTAAACATGGGAACATGTGGCTGAAAGAATGAAGACTCTGATGGCTAAAAAAATGTTGCCCAGAACATAAACATCTAAATTTAGAAAACTCAGTCTTGCAACCATTTTTCCTACTCTAAGTTCTGCTATGCAACGGTAAAACTATGATTCCTCTACCAACAAACTCTCCCTTCAAACTATAAAATCCCTGAATATGTTCATTAACTACGGTCCAAATAAACAAATAAGGATTATTCCAAAGATAGATTCCATTCTAAAGCAGAGACTCAGAGGCAAAAAAGAAAAAAAAAAAAAAGTAGAAGACAATGCATGCTGTGAATATAATGAAAACCTCATTATAGAAGGAGAGAGTAAAAAGTGGGAAACTTTCTAAAATGTCTAGTACTTCTGGATTTGACTTAGAAATCTATTAAGGGCATATAAAATGTGGTTCAACACAAAACCTGAGCTTGAGAAACAGTTCTGATTGTTTGCTGTATGGCACAAACAGATGGCATAGCCCCTCTGGGATTTGGTTGCTCCATCTGCATAAACAGGATAAAAGCACCGGCCCTCAGGAGTATAAGGCTCCAATGAGAAAATGTCCATAAAAGCTGTAAACCTTTAAAGTACACCTAAATAAATACCAGGTATTACGGCATACATGAAGGTTTACCCATCATGTAAGGGATGAATCAATGGCCTTTCCATTTTCCTCCAGTATGCCAATTATGAGTCTATTAAATGTAACTTATGACCAGTAAAATTGTTTTTCAACTAAAAGACAGAAAGAAAGGACCAGGACTCAAAACAAAGGTAATTTCTTTCCTCTCTCTTCCAGATTTAACAATACTTTAAATTTTATGGTGCTCCATAAAAAGGTTTCACAGCTAAAATCTCATTTTAGCATCACATTATCCCTGGGAGGAAGATGCAACGGTACCCATGATGAAAATGAGGAAATTGAGAGGGGCCTCATTGCCAAATGTCATAAAGTGAATTCACGATAAAGACAAGCCCAGATACATTTGAAGTGGGCAACAGAAGAGAATCTAGATATCTGAGTTTGAATCTCAGCTTTTCCACATTTACAAGCTGTGTGAACTTGGGAAAGATTAAACCATGTCTTACATAGACTGTTTATTGCATAGGGAGCAGTGGGAGTTAACAAAAATAATGTACGTTAAGGAACTAATACATTTAAAACCGGCACAGCAGGTGCTCAGTAATGGTTACTATTCCTGATTCCTAACGTAACATTATGCTTCCACCCATCACTTTGCTGCAGTTTAACATTAATATCCATTCTTTCACAGACTTTCTCGGCCATCAAAAACACTTCCAATACTAAGTAAATATCATTACTTTGAAGGATGTATCAACTTAAAAAAAAATCATGGTATCATACAGCAGAATATCATATGGAAAAATTAAAATAGATACAAAAAAGTGATTACTGATATCAGAATCTGGTAAACGTATTACCTTTTATTTCAGCCAAAGAAATCTGCTACTACACTATATCTATTAGTAACTATAAAAACATACTGTACTCTGGAAAAATATTTCCTATGAAAAGTATCCTTTATTTACATAGACTCATCTACATGAATGGCCTTTCTGGCTTTCTTCTTAGAAAATATATATGTTAATATTTTCTTACCCGTGATATTGTTAAAGAACTAACAGGCAATTTTCTCTGAAATGTTTTATCCATTAAAGATGCGAGATCAGCTGTGAAGACAAAAAAAGAAAAAGAACCTTGTTAAAGATACATACTTCTTTAAAAAAAATCTAAGATACGATTCTTGCCAGATGGCTGCCAACATTATGAAGTCAGTATTAAAAGAGACACTCTTTCTTGCTTTACAGAAATTATTTTTATGTAAATTAAAGAGGAAAAAAGAATATTTATTCTTTAAAACATTTTTTAAATGATTTAATTGGGTTGAGATTAAAAAAAAAAAACTTCATAGCATGTATTTAGCTTTTAAAAAATGAATCAAACGGCTGGGTGCAGTGACTCATGCCTGTAATCCCAGCACTTTGGGAAGCTGAGGAGGGCAGATCACAAGGTCAGGAGTTCGAGATCAGCCTGGCCAATATGGTGAAACCCCATCTCTAACAAAAATACAAAAATTAGCCGGGTGCATGCCTGTAGTCCCAGCTACTTGTGAGGCTGAGGCAGAAGAATCGCTTGAACCCACGAGGCAGAGGTTGCAGTGAGCTTAGATTGCACCACTGCACTCCAGCCTGGGCGAGAGCGAGACTCTGTCTCAAAAGAAAGAAAGAAAGAATTTATGACTGGGTTCTCCAAAGCATTGCAACAAAAACACAAATTGACAAATGGAACCCTAATTAAACTAAAGAGCTTCTGCACAGCAAAACAAACCATCAACAGGGTAAACAGACCATCTATCGAATGGGAGAAAATATTCACAAACTACGGATCTGACAAAGGTGTGACATCCAAAATCTGTAGGGAACTTAAAACAATTCAACAAGTGAAAACCAAATAGTCCCATTAAAAAACAGGTAAAAGACTATTGAACAGACACTTCTCAAAAGACATACAAGCAGCCAACCAACATGTGAAAAAATGTTCAACATCACTAATCATCAGAGAAATGCAAATCAAAACCATAATGAGATACCATCTCACACCAATCAGAATGGCTATTATTAAAAAGTCAAAAAATAACAGATGCTGGCAAGGCTAAAGAGATGAGGGATTGGTTATGCACTGTTGGTAGGAATGTAAGTCAGCCACTGTGGAAAGCAGTTTGGAGATCTCTCAAAGAACTTAAAACAGAACTACCATTTGATCCAGCAATCCCATTACTGGGTACATACCCAAAGGAATATAAAACATTCTACCAAAAAGATATATGCACTCAATGTTTACTGTGGCACTACTCACGCAAAAGACATGGAATCAATCTAAGTGCCTACTGATGGTGGATTGGATAGAGAAAATACCGTACATATACACCATGAAATACTACACAGCCATAAAAAAAGAATGAAACCATGTCCTTTGCAGCAACATGATTGTAACTGGAGGCCATTATCCTAAGTAAATTAACACAAGAACAGAAAACCAAATACCACATATTCTCATTTACAAGTGGGTGCTAAGCATTGGGTATACTCAAGCATAAAGACGGGAACAATAGACACTGGGGACTCCTAGAAAGAGGAGAGAGGGAAGGGAGCAAGGGCTGACAAACTGTTTATGCTTAGTACGTGGATGATGGGATCACTTATACCCTAAACCTCAGCGTCATGCAATATACCAATGTAACAAACCTGCATATGTACTCCCTGAATCTAAAATAAAAGTGGAAATAAAAAAGTCCAATATAATTAGCTCATGAAAAAAAATAAAAAAAGAAAAAAAAGGCCAGGTAAGGTGAGGAGTGGGAAGAGGATCAGTAAAATATCTCTGCAAAGAGACACAAGCAAGTGTTCTTTCTGATAGGTTCCAGAAAAAAAAAATGAGATGATGGGAGAGCCAGGGAAGATGACTCTTCATTGCTTACACATTTATTCCTTTTGTATTTTGAGATATATTAGCTATATATCAGGTTATAGATACATATTAGCTATTCAAAACATTTAAAAACTGAAATTTATCAAGTTACTTTTATGCCTACTCTGAACAAATCAGAGCAGCACTCTGGCTATCTTTAATGATTTTTGGCCTGAACTATTCCTATTTTGGTTCTGTGGGTCAAGAAGTCTACAGTCTACTACTGGGACCTAGAGGCACTCCGACATTTAGAAGTCAACAAGTGGAGATCCTGCAAAGGAACACAAGAAGGAGAGAAAAAAGAGAATATTTCGTGAAGGATAGAATGGTCAGCTCTAGCAAATGCTAGTGAGAAGTCAAGTAAGATGAGGACAGAATTAACCACTGGATTTTAATAGTTTGGAAATGGTTATTGGTGTCAGTGGAATGTGTTGAAGACTGGGAGCTCAGTTGTATCTGAGATGACTTTTTTTTTTTTTTCCAAACTATTAAAATCCAGCGGTTAATTCTGTCCTCATCTTACTTGACTTCTCACTAGCATTTGATAGAGCTGACCATTCTATCCTTCACGAAATATTCTCTTTTTTCTCTCCTTCTTGTGTTCTTTTGCAGGATCTCCACTTCTTGACTTCTAAATGTCGGAGTGCCTCTAGGTCCCAGTAGTAGACTGTAGACTTCCCTTCACCATCTATGCTCAGTCCCTAGGTGATCTCATTCTCTGCCACAGCTTTAACCATCACCTACAGATAGTTGGCTTCACATGTACATACCTACCCTGACTTCTCCCCTCTAACTCCAGACTTGCATTTTCAATTGCACAGGTGATATCTCCATTTGATTGTCTAACAGGTATCTAAACATCACATGTTCTCTTATTTCCTCAAATTTCCACTTTCAATCTGCTTTTCCCATCTCAGTAAATGAACACTATATTGCCTGGTTTACTCAAGATAAAAATGTAGGCATCATCCTTGACCCCATACTTCTCATGCTTTATAACCAAGATGTTAGTAAATCCTATAGGCTCTAGATTTGAAATATAAGTATGTATTTCTCACCACCACCACCACTAAGCCACCAATATCTCTTTTCTCCTAACCTTGTTTCAACTATTGTCCCCACCCTTATTATCTAATTTCCACCCAGCAGTCTGAGTGAGCCTTTTAAAACATAAATCAGCCAATCAGGATAAAAACCAACAAATGCTAATCTGTGTTGTTTGTTTCTGTCTCTTACACTAAAAATAAAACCCATGTAATTACTAATACACACATTCTCATTCTCTAAAACAGTTCCATAAAAGGCAAGTAGTAAATACCTAAAGAAATGAATCAAAGGAAAGAAAAAAAAAAAAAAAAAGGTGATTGGGTTTCCAAGGTTTGTTTACTCCCTGGTGGAAGAAACTGGTGCAAGTAATAATGACACACTCAGAAATGATCAAGTAATAAGTATTTGTTGAAAGCCTATTGTGCATTTAATCATTTTTTCTTCCTTTTTTCCCTGAGGGATGGATCTCAATGACTGAGTAGCTACTGGGGGAAAAAAACTTTGTAAAACCTTTAAAGCTTGATATAGTATAAAAATAATTAGCTTTTCTTATGACTTATTTTAAAGAGACTGAAGCCAAGTGATTAAGGCAAAACAAAAACAAAAAAGTCCTTCAACCCCCTTCATACTAAGGCAAATTAACAGCATTAAATCTACTTGCTTACAGATGTTAAACGTCTCTCTCATAACAGCAAATCTTTATGATCATTTCATAACGGAGGCTCTTGTGTTTGGATGATAGACAATATGAGAAATTACCTCCCTCTACTCATAATTTACAATTTAACTTAAAATAGCACAATCAGGATGTATGGCCTGATTAAAATGAAAAACCCATCATATCTTTGTGAGTTTCACATCGTGCACAATGTATAACCAAACTCTGGAATGAGGTGGCTTCACTAACCACCACCTCTGTAGTGTGGTAACTCAAGATTGCATGTGAATCCTTCACACCAAGCCATCTTCAGTCAAGTGAAATCTGCTGGGGCCTCAGAAAAGATAACAGCTGCAGAGCCAGCATCTAATGAATAACATTTACATATTGCAAGTCAGAGAAAGGTTTGCTGCCAAATACATTACGTGGTAAATCGCCTCACAGGATAGCGCTGCCACGATGAATGAGGCAGAAACCTGCACAGAGCAGGGATGGCGAGGAAAGCTGGGACAGCTGTGGTGTGCAGAGGGCTAGCGCCACAGGCTTCTGGACTTTGGGCTTCTACAGTCAAAATCCCACCTCATGTTTCAGTGAGGGGCCAGCAGATGCCCAGGTTTTATTCAAAGAGATATGCCAAAGAAGATACTTTTTTGCTTGCTACTCAGCTCCTCAAGAATAAATACTGCAGCTGATGGTTGTGGACGACAAAGACTATATGGGAAAATGGATCTGAAATTTGAATTCTTCATTTAACAAAACTTAAAGCTAGACAGAAAATGTGGAAGTATGTTCAGAAAATAAAATGTATACTAAAAACCCCCTTCCCATTTGAAGAAACCAATACTATTAATGATCTCAGAATACACAAGATTTTATTGAGAACCCTGCACTATTCCCAGTATGAGTGCAGTGGCACACAAGCGTAGGTGAGGAGTCAAACTGCCTGAGGGGTTTTAAAACTTCAGATTCCTAGGCTTCTTTTCACCTAGAGGGAGACTCTAATTCTCTGGGTTTCAGGTAGCACCAGAGACTTAAACAATAGCCGCAGAAGACGGTAGCCAATCAAGCATCAGTCTTTTGTTTGGGAACAACCATGGGAGGGAGCACAAAAGAAGTCTTGGATGTTGCTCCAAAGCTCAAAGATACTGAATAGGAATTCTATTGCTGGAATAAGATGAATTAAATATATTTTTAAAAATCCCTCCTAATATAAAAATAAAACAAAATATCAATTTTCCCCCAAATATATGACTGAGCTTTTAGGAAGGTAGATGGGTATCAGAGGCTAAAGGCAAGATGGGAGCATAAACTTGGAGTGCTTAAGGGAGCAGTCCCTTTGAGAGGAGCAGTCTCTTTTAGAGCATGTGATGATCTACAGTGATGGGGAGCTTTAGTTTGGGGAACAGAGGATGAAACCAATACTTGTAACATAAGAAGCCCATTCAGAGAGCCTCGGGTAAAGCCAGAACCACCTAGGGGAACTACACCTGAAGTGAA